AGTTCAAAAAACTCGTAGATCGTGTTTTATCAGGTATAAAAGCAAGTGTTTTAAGCAGTTCAAAAAACTCGTAGATCGTGTTTTATCAGGTATAATATATTTATACCTGATAAAACACTCCTACTCGTTTTTTAAACACTACAAGACACGGACACGAATACTATATATATTACTTATAATTTGCTTGACTATATACCTTCTTCCAGTTAGGTGTATTCAAAAGACATGTATTTAGCTATAATAGGTATTAACAGGTTTAGTCTGGTTTTGGCTCTAAAATTTAAAGCCTCTTTTTTCTTCAAAGTACGACAGGTGTTTCAAAGTGCCGACACCATGTTTTTTAAATTTCAAAGTGCAAAGTTTTATATATTTAAGAGTGCAACAAATTTTATTTCAGAGCGCAACAAGCTTGATTTGTATAGTTAATTTGCCGAGGCTTAGCCTAGGCGAGGGAAATTACGCAGATTTTGACAAACACAAGTGGAATTTATCCCTAAATTGTCGAGATGCAAATGTGATTACCAATTAATAGTAAAGGACGAATTAAGGCAGAGAGTTCTGGCAGTCATAAGCTTAATTTTATTTCATGGTAGAATTTTAGCCTTATCGATGAACTTGAAAAAAAATTTTTTTCGACCACTTTAAGATATATAGCCACAGCATCAGTATTTTCAGTCAAAGATTAAGCACGCTTTTTATAGTTAGAAGTACAAAAGTCAAGAACACACAAATGTTTTAAAGTTATATTTTTGCAAATGACTATACTTTACAAAAAGTCTAGCTTCTCAGTGCCGTAAAACTTCGGCTCTCAGCTTGTCCAGCTCATATTTTTCTGGGAGTTTCTGACTTTTTTTATCGTCTCACCAGTTTTGAAATACTTTCCATCAATTGTCGATGCTGTTTTTTGGTATTTAAATTTTCTACTGGCTTTTTGGCGATTTCGTTTTCCTCGTCTTCGCACTCGACAATCTAGATAGACGCCATTTTGCTTTGAAAGCTGAGAAAAACACATTACCATGGCAACAGTGAAATTTCACATGCGAAATTACGAATTAAAGCTGTGAGTTATTTGTCACTATAGTATAACAAAATGCAACAAGTTTGATTTCAAAGGATAACAAGTTTGATTTCAAAGTGCAACCAGTGTTATTTCAAAGTGCAACAGATAACATTAGTTAGTATGTAATAGTGAAATGACAACTCTGAAAAGAATACATGGAATTAGGGTCTACTAATTTGTATTAGTATCGTATTGTGTATTTCACAGGTTAATGAAAACCACTCTAATAAGTCGTAAAATTACTAATCTATGCCTACTCTATACCTACTCTACCTAATCTTATACAGAACCAGAAGAAGACCATGGCCAGTCGACAACCCGATCTTTGGTCATTCCTCCAAGGACAAACCTCATTGCAAAAGGACAGTTCAAACTAACAGAAAACAGGAAGAGTAAACTAAGTAAACAAAGAACGTTTAAGGAAAGGAAAGTGTACCGATAAAAAAATAAAATAAAATACACTATTCCAAGGACAAACCTAATTGCTAAAGAGCAGTTCAAACTATATAGCAGAAAATAGGAAGAGTGAATTAAGTAAAGAAAGAACGATTTCCTGTTCTTTCCTTAACAGGAAAGGACAGTGTTCCAATAAAAAAGACAAGAAAATAAACTACGAACTTGTGTAATTAGGATGAAAAATTCGAATGAATTAAATTACAATTAAATGAAATGCATGTATTTGGAATTCAATCATTTGTTTAGCTGCTCATGTACACTGTTATGATGCTCTACACTTTCGAATGTGCAGGCACCGAGTCTAAAAGTATAGATAGTCTTGGAGCGCATGCGCAGTAAGTGAGACTGCTTCACGTGGTTATCGTGGCCACCTACGAAACGTGTACTTTGTTTTGACCCGAAGGAACCATCTTCAAAGGTTCTGCCGGGAATTCTCCTACTTCGAATGCAACAACAGCGGCGTGATCAAGTTTTCCTGGCAATTCTCTCATTTCTGTTTGTCTGACACTGCGAAGAGGACCAGGTCTCAATTCTTCTCTATCTACGCGCTCAAGGAAGTTTCGCTTCGAAGCAGTGCACTTACAAACGTAGCTTATCAAGTTAGCACAGAGTCCTTGGGCTGATGGAACATCATCTGGACTTTCTTTTTCAATTATCTGAAAGAAGTTGAAAAAAAAAAAAGACATTAAATTTCAACATTAAATGAATACTTTATCTGCTATGATTACGAAAGGAATGAGGTGGTCGGTACAAATATCAAAGATAAATATAGAATAAAATACATAAACATCCAAAATATCCATTTTGATTCCTCACTGAAAGTAACCGCCTCTGTAGTACATCACTGATCATATCTGTGGTTATAGCCCCCTCCACCTACCAAGGCCCCTGGATCCACCCCTGTAAGTACATCACTGATCATATCTGTGGTTACAGCCCCCTCAACCTACCAAGGCCCCTGGATCCGCCCCTGTAGTACATCGCTGATCATATCTACTGTGATTACAGCCCCCTCGACCTACCAAGACCCCTGGATCCGCCCCTGTAGTACATCACTGATCAGATCTGTGGTTGCAGCCCCCTCGACCTACCAAGGCCCCTAGATCCGCCCCTGTAGTACATCACTGATGTCAATGGTGTTCTGAGTTTCTACATACCTCTTTCATATCAGACAAGACCTTCCGTTGTCGCAATGCAGGAACATCCCACTCAGAGCAAGAACTTTTATCTACGTCTGTCTTAACTTTCGTGTCCTCTTTAGTAACCGTAGCATTACTTGAAGTTTTAATTTTATCATAGATAGAATCCATACTCAAACAGGGTTTAAGAAGTCCTTGACAGTGATTGCATTGAGATACAACCGGATCGAAGTTGTCCGACACACCATCGCTTGTCAAGAATACAATATCTCCGGTAGAAACTCTAGTGTAAGAAAAGGTCAAGTTACGCAAATCGGGATTGTAGCCATCGACAGGACCTAAAGAGCCACCGGGACATCGCATGTCACGAAGGGTTGCATGTGATCCAATAGTAATCTCACGAACACCGTCCTTTTCATTATAAACGTATCCTAGGCTATCTCCTACGTTCACCATGCACAAAGCCCATTCGTCACTGCCTTTGACTTCACAAACAAYTGCAGTACAGAGCGTTGTCATAGCAGCTTGCTTTTTGATGATGCACTCTTGTGCAGCTTCGAATGACTGTAGAAGTAACTGCATGACTTGGTGTGTGTTAGTGGCTGTACTTAAGTATTGTTGGAGATACTGAACGGATCCTGCTACAGCACAACGAGCAGCCAGTCGAGACTTCTCGCCCCAGTTCACCCCATCCGCTATTGACAAAATACAACTGTTTGGACGCGCTACGATTGCATAAACGTCTGCAATTGGATCCCCCTCAAAGTGGTTTTTAGTTTGATTGTATTCATATAATGAAGTAGCCATACCGTAGGCTCTGCCATGTCGTTTRGACCATTCRCTGATTGGTCTAAAGTGATGGCTCCCACTTGTTTCAGGCCGAAATGCTTCTATACATTCTTTTGGAACTGAAACGTTTCGAATTCCGTCTCCAGGGCCTGTGGTTGCCACAGTGACTTGCTTGCAGAGGGCAGCCAGCTTTTCACAGGGGAGGTCTTTGTAGGCTTTGCTCCAATGCACAATATCCTCCAATTTCATAATATTCCTGAATAAAGATAAAACTAAGTGAGCTACGTACGTCAATACCTTTGGTTAATTAAAATGATCTAGTTCATGTTCTTTTGCTTTAAAAGATCAAAATCAAAAGTATATCAAAAGTATATCAAAAATTATGGGATATCATCCCTGTATCGGATATCATCCCTTTTTTTCCAGTAAATAAACAGTAAACAAGGGGCAACACAGCTGCAAACATGCGTAACAGCCTCATTATAAGTATTCTACAACTTCGTAAAAAAATTGTTGAGAAATGATCGAAATCACTATCTTTCATATACATGTATATATATATCCAAAACATGCCGAAGTATATAATGAGATCCAAGATATCAAATAAGATGCAGAAGGTAAAACATGCTTAAATACGATTGCTTAGTCACGAAATTTTGTGGAAAATACTTTTTAACTTGACTTTGTGCAATACTTATGTCTCTGTTACAACAGAAGATAAATAACACCAAATAAGTTACTTTTTAAGTTTTGCATCTCTACATATCTTGTATCTCATCAGATATTCGTATAAATGTATAATACAACCTTTCTACAATATATATATATACATATCATGTTATTTGTTTTAATCGCCGATTTAATCACGTGTCCTTTTCTTAGGTGTGTCGAAAACGCAGAAGTCGACCACTGACTCAGACATGTACAGCTGACCTCGAAAACACAAACCTCGTGACTCATAATGCTCGTACTTTTCGGCGTGACCATGGCCACGCAAAATGTTTAAATTGAAAATAAAATAACACGTTTCCAATTTGTTTTTCACTAATCTTAGCGTTTCGAGGTCTGCATTTTCGACACACCTATTTAGTTCTCGAGCGTGATTATATCCACATTGCCGGTGTATTTCCGAAAGGTGACCAAGGAAGTCGTTTGTTTTACATTTAGTTCTTGCAGTTAATTGTTTAAATACTGAATCTGATTTTGCCAAACTGAATGGCATGTGTTTTTTAGTTGTTATAGTTTAGAATATCTCTAGAATCACAGTATTCTCCTTTTTGAGAAATAGGAATTGCAATTAACTTCACATTTTTTCGACGATAGCGGCAATTTATTTTCTAATTTTCAGGCATTAGCGCCTACCTTCAAAAGGGCTCTCAAAGACTATAATATATGGTATCATAAAGCATGTTAAGGCCTGGGTTATGAACCAATTCATTATCAAACCATTAAAAAATCATTTCTCTGGTGTTTCTGCTTAATGTATAACCAGCTTTATCAAACTTTCTTAGATCGTGGTTCTTTACAAATTGATTCCAATAAATGGGAAAAATTTAGGTCACGTGACCACGAAATTTACATAAAATTTACATAAAAATTCATTTTAATAGTAGGTGCTCAATTTAAGTCTTTGCTGAACGTTTTCGACTTCAATTTATTTCTTTTCCTGAAGTCGTTCAATTGACGTTGAGAATGGTTGGCTAAAGTTTTGTGTTAAGGAGATATTTTACAAAACAGGTCACGTGACCTGTCAAAATATCCTTTATGCCCTTTTTTCTCCTTTCGTAAACATTTTGGTCAACCATTCCAAACGTGAATATTTGTATCTTTGTTGCTACTCTCAAACAAGCTAAACAAATCTCACAAATAATCTAAAACCATCACCTAGTTTTTAATTTAGCATTTTCCCTCTTTTAAGGTTACGTGACCACCTATTATGCAAATTTATTCATACAAAAAGTTAAGCACCCTAAATAAGGATATCTGTTGCAATCTCATTCAATTACATTTAAAAATGAGGATTCTACAGTGAAAAGTAATTTTTGCCCTTTTGAACAAAATCCCAGGCCTTAACATGCTTGAGGTCATATCATAGTTATGTGTGGTATTATGGAGTCATATCAACTCTCACGTGACCCAGTTAATTTTAATCCATTTTTCAATCAATAATACGGGATCGAACGTCTGAGCTAAGAGCAAATCTCTAGACAAAGGTTAGTCCTGCAATATCATGCTTGCATTAATGTTCCCCCCCCCCAAAAAAAGGTCAAGCCCAAACAATACAAGCTTGCTACGTTCGTGGTGAAATCAAAGTTCAAAAACAAAAGTCAACTCGAAACCATTGATTTTTAGCGGCCCCTCTGGAGGCATAATAATAAGATAGAATTGCTATAGAAGAAATTGGGATCCCGTCCCAAAAGAGATTAAGATATACACTGATACACGTGAAATGGCGAATGCGCATGTGGTAACATGTTTCCGTATCTTGTTACTTTAGTAATAGATCTCGCTGGATCCATCTCCCGTCGGCACATCCCGTGATGTAGTCCCTTGAGAATTGTTCTAAATCATGCGCAATTCGATTTCGTTCGAAGATGCCAATAAGCCTGAAGCGAGATGACGTTTTACCCCCGACTCTATACCATAATAGTCTTATTTCATATTAAAATTTTTGATTCCTTAGAGAATACAGAAACAATAGTCATAATTAAAGAACAAAAGCAGTGTGAAAAGGATTATGGTCTAGAGACGGGGGTAAAACGTCATCTCGCTTCAGGCTTATTAGTGGGAAGGAAATGCTACTCAAATACACGGCTTAAAAACTTAGGATACGTAGAAGTCCACTTTCTTACAGGGGCGGCGAATTTTTTTGCGGGGAATTGCCCCTCCCTCCACAAAATATTGGTTCACATGAAATATAAATGCATAGATTCGATTTTTAATACTGTTATTAAGTTATTGTTGTGATTTTTTCCAGTGCCCCCCCAAAGATTTTCAGCTTCCGCCGCCCCTGTCTTACAGCATCTATGAGTTGTAAATAAAACCTAATAAAACCACTACAAATAAGCCCTTGAAAACGGTCAAATAAATTGCATGCGTAGTGCCCAATGGGTCGTGGGAAAAGAGAAGAGAGTTCCTGGCCCCTCTCTGGCCAGCACTAGCTATGCAAACATTTGTACCAAATTTCATAATTCGTAGAATTGAAGCTAGCCCGAGAGAATGTGGATAGAATGCCCGAATAAACATTCATATGACAGCAGAAACATTTTGTCTGAAAATAATAAACAGTCACGGTACGTAACTCTCTCGTTTGTAATTTTGTACTTTGGGTATCAGTGATTGTCATATTTTCAGCGTGGATCAGTTTGAGAACTTCAGTAAGTCTGTGGGACAATGAAAGCTGCAGACATTCTACTCTTCAAACTGAGGGACATCTTGAACACTTGAACTCGTTGCTTGGATTAACATAAAAGTAAGCTGTCAGATCGATCAATCACGATTAGATCAAATTATATGTTTGGATTATTAACACTGCATGTATTTCATGTTTTTCAGCGCGGAAATTATCTGAAACAAATGACCTGAAAAGTCATTATACTGCCAAGAGTATCTTGCAAGTCTAGTTTAGTCTTGTATATCTTTAATATAATGCTTTAGCCGAATAATCCGCCGGGCCATAACATGTTTTCAACCAAGTCTGACTTTGTTGAGGAAGTTGATAGACGCATAGCGTGACTCACTGCATCTTCGAATTTCAACACCAAGTATTAAACGAGAATGGCGGGTTAACGGAACTAGATTAAAAAGCTACTGTTAAATAATAGCAAGAATGGATCTTTTAAACTGTATTAAAGATTGGCTACAGTGTATATACGAAAAATGACGTCATTTGTACGAATCGTACATCACGTATCCGAGTCCCTAAGTTCATGGTCACATGGATTTCTTATACAGTTATTATTTCATATTCTCATCAGAAGCAAGAACAATATACTGTGATATCATTAGCAACCGATAGATTTTCAATTGGCAACTGATGCCTTCAGATTAAAGAATTATGTGCAATGAATCAACCGGGTGAGTTTCAATACCTGAAAGAAGAAAGGATAGGAAGTGAAAGTCTTCTATGGAGGCTTAATGGATTTGAACTCGCCATCGCCACTTCGGGTATCGACTGAATCTCACATTCCTCAACAATCGATTTTCCGAAAATTCTACCCTATTTAGCCAGTTCAGCGGACAGTAATGTTGCCAGCTACTTGTAGAAAATTGTTGAGTAATGGTTTTCCAAGCGAACGGGAACAGAATATGATTCGTTATAGACAGTGTCAATCTCCCAATCCCCGGCCCTTGGATAAACCATGAGGGGGTCCCGTGACCGAACTCTATACCTCGCAACGACAAAATGAAAAATAAAAATTCCCCTTAAAAATTGCATAGTCTTACAAATTTGAAGTATTTAAAGATTTCACTTGAGATCAAATTATTGGCGACCTTCTATCGTCAGCGATTCCACATATTTTATATATGGGAGAGTAAAGCTCCCATTACGAGGTGACTGCCCGGCAACGGCGCGTCCGTCACTGAATAGCTGCGGCTACACTAGTCCTATGACCTAGACAAGCCCTATTACCAACGACACTGAACACACACTGCCACACTGCACTGCCTGGCAAAGTATTCCGTCATTAACCTTTATGCTTTGTTTCAGGCTTATTTTTGACCTATTAAATTGAAATAAATGAATATTTTTACAATATCTTACAAATTTCTCGAGCGCTGATTGGTTTTTTTTTTTCATCAACAAGACGAATGACAAATAAACGAGCGCGTGCTCTTTCCGTTGGTTGTTTTGATTACTAAAAATGAGAAGTTTGATCGTTTTTGTTATTGTAAAAAACAAATAGACATAATTTTTTTTGTCTGTCCTATTATTGACGATAAAGTTCGTCATCACATTGTCAAAGTATGCGGATATACTAGGCTACGCCTCATGAATCAACACTACTTTAACAATGTGATGACGCAATTATTTATCGTTAATAAGAGGACACACACAAAAAACTGATGTCTATTTGTTAATTAGATGCACTGATTTTATATTCTGCCCTTTAGTGCCATTGACCATTGACTACACGCACTTGAGAGATTAAGGCCTAAGGCAAACGTCGAACTTTCCATGCACCGAACTCATTAAAAACAATGGATATCGGGTAATAATGAGTCGGCATTCTTTGATGTAATTAAGTTCGGTGCATGGAAAGTTCGACGTTTGCCCYAGGCCTTACTGAAATAAATGAATCATTTAGATGCACTGATTTCATTTTTTGCCCTTTAGTGCCTCCGTCTTCAATCTAACGTCGTAACCGATTCCCAAATAAGTGCTTCGTCAGAAAGGAACGTCGCTCACCGGGCAGCAAATGCAAGGCTTCATTTCCATGCCGGTGCAGGGAGTACAGGAACGTGGTCTTCTTGCTACAACAAATTAAGTTGATCAATTGCTCCAAGTGGATTTCAAGACAATTGCTAAAGTAACTAAAATTGCAACTCAAGGTCGCCAAGATGCTGATCAGTGGGTGACCAGTAACTCGGTTTCTTACATCAGAGATGGTGTGTTTTGGAAAGCACTATCGTGAAATAAGTCCATAGAGCAATTCTTAGAGGGGCTCCCGCGCGGGCTGACGTCACTTCCGTCCGTCCGTCCGTCCGTGTACACAAAACAGAGATCCCGAATGATGTCAAAGCAAAACTACTCGCAAATCCGGCTCTCAAATAGGAATGCACAGAAAAAATCGCTTTAGGACGATTTATAGACCAAAAACAAATAAAAAATGTTCATGTAGTCAAAGATGGATCAAGAAGTGTTTTTCAAGTATTCAGGTGTGTGTTTTTTAGCAAACAATCGTACATATATGTTGTTTTTTTTTTTGACAAGAATTTTTCTCGACGAATCGACAAATCAAAGACTTTCTCTCAAAACCTTTAATATTTCTATAGATAAGATTAATTTATAAGTTAATGCCGGAGGAAATATAACACGGAGAGCATATTACGACAACAAATATTCGTCCTTAATTTATCTTTAAATCTTTATCAATTCGGTTGTTTTAAACCAACTATCGCTAAATATGTATATCGTTCAAGAAAAATGCTCCATCGGCAAAACAAAGAAGACTTTCATTTAATAATTTTATATCTTTCTACAGATAATTCATCTAATTGAATGAAATATAAAATTACACCAAACATTCAGCTGTTTATTAAGCTGTTCGACCTAGTATGATTATACAAATGAGCTTAAATTTGTGTTGTTGAGAAAAGTTATTGTATAAAGACCTAGACTTTCACTTTAAAAAGCTAAAAAATATTCAAAAACATTTACAAATGCCAATTTACTGACAAAGAAATTAGTCATGTTGTATTTTGCATTGCAGTTTGCATTATCTTCTATTTTGTCTCAGTTGTTTTTTTAACAAGTTTAACTGAATGTAAACTTTGTTTTTCGAAAACTTTTCGGTCGTTCGTCTTAACTTTCTCGCGCATGAAAACAGATGGAAAAAAAATCGAATTTAAATCGAATTTAAAAATCTAGTATTTACAGCTTAAGTTTTCAAGCTTATCGAAAAGTAGTTAAGGCTTATATAAAAGGAATCTTATTTTCTTAATTTAATTGCGGTAAAAATAGGTTCTTATAAAAACCTAAACTCTTCATATGGATAACCAAACATTGTCACGTAAAAGAAGAAAAAGTAAACTTATGTTTTGCTTACCTTTTCTTAAGCAGTTTTCTAGTCTGTCTTTTATATGCCGTGTTCATTTGTCCATAAAAAGCTAGGAATCTCCGAAATTTCGATTTCAATGAAAGACATCCAAGGGAAATTTCCCTAAACTTGACATAGTGTGTTGGATTGTCCGGTCTGTAGTTATCGTTCGTTTTTAAAAGATGTAGTGCATTTCGATTCGATTTCAATGCATGGTTTTTATTATGGGTATTATTGGGCTACCTGTGACTTTCGCATCGGGAGCTCCGCTTTTAGGGAGTGCCTAAATGTATTATACTTAATGGAACTGCATCTGTGCATAAGGGCTTGGTGCTCTAATCAAGGTCATTAATCCAAAATGTCCATGTCTTAAATAAGGAAATGGCGATGCCAGTGTGTTAGGTGAAATAAAGACTTTTCCGTTATGTATAAATAATAAATGGAAGTATTGATCGAAATCAACCATGTTATTTCTATTCCAGGTGTTTCCTGGAAATTATGATCTAGGTACTGTTGTCAGTCGTGAAATGGAATGAGACATTTGCGCTCAATTTCTGCGCATTCACCCACGAGCATGGCAAGGACACACCCCCTTAAGAGCCGAGGTTTACGGGTGCACTACAGGTAAACAATTAGCAGAGAGTTTTAACGAGAACTAATTGCAGCATTGTGTACATGATGTTTCTTGAATGGTTCGACGTCTTGGCCAAAATTAAGAGGCTTTGCTTCAAGTCATCAATCTTTATATATTCCAGTTAATAATGGTCAACAAACCAGAATTTTTTAACAACAAAAGTAGTACAAATAGTCTTTAAACCCATTGTCTTCTCTTTTATTTTAATCAACTATTACTAACAAAATGATCATTTCTTTCTCGGGTTAAATAAAATCACTTTATAAACTCCAGTAGAGTGCAAACCTTATATCCGTGAAATAGTACCAAACTAATTACTACAAAATACCAATAAAGTAATTGAAATCAAAAGAAATAGATATGTTTAGTGCTATTTAGTAGTTGTGCCATTTCACGAATATATGGTTTGCACTGTATCCTGGTTCAACTAGTTCATGGCCGCCATGTTGGTTGAGTCGTAATTAGAAAATATAAATTGGTGTTGACCAGCATGGCGGCCATTTGGTGATGATTGCTAGCCATGTATCTCAATGTAATGTGAGTAAAACATATCTTACATTGTAACATCTAGTGCTGGCACATGAAACAAATGAACGAAACGGAATTCATCACGAGTCATTATAACACCAGCATAAAAGTAAGGCCCAGGGTTTTCATTACGTTTTGAAATAATAGATTATAAACTGCCGGAGAATCCTGGGGACCAAGTGAATATTTTACAAAGATTAAGATATTAACGGTAGTTTAAGCCGGATAATTTTGATCAGTTACCGGAGCATTCTCATGGTCACTTTAAGCTACATGGCTATCAGTCACACTATTATTATTATTCTTATAATTATTTTTTTTAAATTTAATATTTTGATTTTTACAAATTTTCATTCAATTATTTTTTCTTTTTTTCAATAACTTTTGATTATAATTTTTGATATCTAATATCTCCGATAATATCCCTTTTTTTATATATCTGATAAAAGACCTTAGAGATCCAATATCGCATTAGTTACATCAGGGAGGTATTTTCTACAAACTATGCTACATATATATATATATATATATATATATCAGTTTTAAATGTTTAAATACATTTGAGATATGAATGACAGCTTGCAACAGGCAGCCATTGATTAGTGAGCAAATTGATTGATCATTGATAAGTTGAAGTTAAATCCTGTGGATGATTATTCGGAATATACAGATCCATACAACTGATACTAGACACGTAAATACATATCGTGCTACTTCAAAAACTAACCACATAACATGCAGAATAATAAAACTACAAAATAAATACAAAATGCATATTTTTCAGCATGTCTGCAAAATGATTTTAAAAAGTTATTTCCTTGTTGTAATTTCAGAAATTATTTCTATACTGGCATATTAAACAAATTGACGAGCTCAGTCTTGGCGTCGTCCGGACTGTGGGGGTGAGTAAGATTTTGTACTTTTTCTTTGATCTTTTCCACTAACGATACCCCCTTGTTATGCAAGACAGTCCCTTCAGAAACCATCTTCAAAGGTTCTGCCGGGAATTCTCCTACTTCGAATGCAACAACAGCGGCGTGATCAAGTTTTCCTGGCAATTCTTTCATGACTCGACAGATTTCCGTTTCTTTGACTCTGCGAAGAGGATCATGTCTCAATTCTTCTCTATCTACGCGCTCAAGGAAGTTTCGCTTCGAAGCAGTGCACTTACAAACGTAGCTTATCAAGTTAGCACAGAGTCCTTGG